GAGGCGCCTGAGGGGACCGGGGGGCCGGGGGAGCAGCCGCCAGGGCTCCTCGTCGGGCAGCCGGCCAGCCGCCCCTCCCGGCCGCGACAGCAGGGGCCGCCGCGCTGTGCCTGCACGACCCGCCCCGGGCCCCGACCTCCAGTGCCCTCACTCAGCCCCTCCACCCCCGGCTCCTATGGGCTCGCTGCCGCCCCACCATGGCCTGTCCCCTGCCCGGGCTTCCCGGCCGCAGCCCCGGCGCCGCAGCAGGGGCAGCTGTAGAGGGCTCAAAAAGCCAGAGGCTTTGCTGGCGGAACAGGAGACTTGCCCTTGACCCGGCTCCTGGGTGACACGGGCAGGGAGAGGGAATTGGGTCTTTCCCCCACTGTGCCTCTCCCACTTGCAGCCTCCAGCACTGAAGGGCCAGGCAGCCAATTCAGAGGCTATGTGCCCTTCACTCCAAGGCTCCACAGCTATGAATGCCCCTTTCCTCCAGGAATTTGTCCAGTCCCTTTTTCGAACCTAGCTGCCTGCTTCTAACCCCCCGTTTCTATAATGCACTGCTCTGTCTTCCTTATTACTGGATTCCAGCTGCCCGGCTGGGCAGAGCTCACAATAGGGGCTTTGTCAATGAAACCTGGAGCCCCTCCATGCGCCTGCTGGAGAAAGTAATGCACTGAGGCTGCAGCCTTGCCAGGTCTTCAAGCCTCCAGCCCCATTCAGGATAGCACCTCCAACTCGAGCCCTAGCTCCTGTCCTGCCCGCTTTTTTTCCCCTCCCCACTAGTGCCAGCAGGTCAGGAGTCCCTTTTTGCTAGAGCAAACTCTCAGATGCTAATTAAAGGAACGATACTGTTACTGGGAGCTGAAACGCTGCCCTGCCACTGGGCTAGAAGGGTTCTGTTCAAAGCATAAAAGCAAGGCAAATACATCTCTTCTCTTAACTTGCTGTTTCAGTGTTGAAATACACCAGGCCCAGCCCTTGCTGGTAGGACAAGGGTTAGAAGAACCAGCGCAGATTTGGTTTCCAACCAGGACAGGAGATTGTCCTCAGTTTCCTTGGAAAACCTGGTACAGACCTTTCCAATTTAGCCAAGCACACTTCCTTCCCTTAAAACTTACCAGCACAGCTGTCTGGCTTATCTGCAAAGAATAAGAAATGGATAATAAAAGTCAGCATGAACTTACTTGAGCCAGGCAAGGGCAAATCATTTGTAGGAAAACCTCTAGCAGTAAGGCTCCCCTGACCCAGGCAGTGCTAGCCATGGTCACTTCTCTGGCTGAGCTTTCCCTTCTGTTGCTCTTGATAGATTTTAGGACCCTTAAAACATACAAAAGCCCCCCCAAGTGACTCCTCCAGCAGCAGCAGAAAGGTAACCCCTGCTATAGGTGTCAGTGCCTTCTGTTTATTAATGGACTTAGCAGAGCATAGTGGGGATTGGAGGAAATCTGAAGGCGAGAAAGGAGGGGACTGAAGGACTCCAGCTCCTTTAACCCTTTGTCCTGCTGCTGCTGCTCTGACCCTGGTCCTTCACCTTCTGTGTGAATTAGACTCCCTTCATCTTCTGCATGAATTATCAAGAGAGAAAAGCAAAGCATGGTGCCTGCAGAAAACTTCTCACCCCCCCCCCCACTTCCTATGGAGGCACAAGAAGTAAATGCTTCTGCGCTAGGCAGTTTGATAATGAAAAAGTAAGAAAGCAAGAAAAGGGTTAAAACCCTGAGACGGTAGCTGATGGGCTTGGACTTTGAAATGTACCAAATTCCAGCAATATTAAAAATAGGCATCCAGTGACCAGAAGAAAATTAAGGTACTGTTAACCCAGAGGAAGAGGCTGAAGATGTAGACTCCACAGTAGTCTGATTAAGGATGAGAAAGCTCCTTACCCAGGTCCGGGATGAAAGTTCACTGCATGTTTCTCTTTGTGGTCGCAGAGGGTCGCAATGAATCAGCATCCACTGGAGTTCAAACTAGCAGAAAGATAAAATCAGATTAATGTATTTCACATGTGCAGTTTCCAGGTTGGAAGTTTCATAATAAAAATACTCTGGTCAGCCACCAGTGGCTTTTAAAAGGTGCATTGTGAAAGGCACTGGATAGGCTAATCCAGTATTGTTTATTGTTTAACTGACAAACAAATGGCTTGAGTCAGTTCTTGGAGCTTGCTTATTTATAACAGAGCAGCCAGTTACCTTCAACTCTCCCCTCTCTCTACTGTCTGCATTAGAGACAAGCATAAAGTTAGACCTAGATAGGTTACAAGGATGGGCGGAGGAGAACAGGATGGGGTTTAACACGGACAAGTGTAAGGTGATGCACCTGGGGAGGAACAATCGGCACCACACATACAGGCTGGGGAACTCCCCTCTTGTCAGCACAGAGGTGGAAAAGGATCTGGGAGTCATTATTGACTCCAGGATGAACATGAGTTGGCAATGTGGGGAGGCGGCTAGGAAGGCCAACTGCACCTTGTCGTGCATCCACAGATGCATCTCGAGCAGGTCCAAGGAGGTGATCCTCCCCCTCTATGCGGCACTGGTCAGGCCGCAGCTGGAGTACTGCGTCCAGTTCTGGGCGCCGCACTTTAAGAGGGATGTGGACAGCATCGAGAGGGTCCAGAGGAGGGCCACTTGTATGATCAAGGGACAGCAGGGTAGGTCCTATGAGGAAAGGTTGCGGGACCTGAACCTGTTCAGCCTTCAAAAGAGAAGGCTGAGGGGGGATCTTGTGGCCTGTTATAAACTGGTTAGGGGGGATCAGCAGGCGCTGGGGGAGTCCCTGTTCCCCCGAGCGCCGCAAGGAGTGACCAGGAACAACGGTCACAAGCTGGCGGAGGGAAGGTTTAAGTTGGACATCAGGAGGCGCTACTTCACGGTCAGGGCAGCTAGAGTCTGGAACCAGCTTCCAAGTGAGGTGGTGCAGGCTCCCACCCTGGGGGTTTTTAAGAGGAGGTTGGATGACCACCTTACTGGGGTCATTTGACCCCAGTGCTCTTCCTGCCATGGCAGGGGGTCGGACTAGATGATCTGCTCAGGTCCCTTCCGACCCTAGAAACTATGAAACTATAAAACCTGTTATGTGAATTTAAGATGAAGTGAAGCTCTAAGTTTGTCATGTCCAAGCGTAGATTTTGCTTCTTAATTCATATACTGCAAATATGCCTTTATTAGTGAACACATATTCTCAAAGGATTTTTTTGGAATTGGACAGTCCTATGAAGGAAGAATGACAGCTCTGAAGATGAATGCAGGAGCAGAAGGTCTAAGCAAGAAGAATTCTAAAGATCTGTATCATATTTAAACAAGCAGAAGTCAGGCTGGCTGATATACCTCTGTGAGATTTCACATGTTCTCTAAATGTTTTTACATTAGCTCTGCAATCTGGCCCAGAAATAAATCCACCTCTTTCTTTTCAAGAAACTAACTGGACTCCTATTTACATGTCTGAAAAATAAGTACCTTTTACTTATTTATTGAGGAAGACTAAGGGAGGCTTATAAGTACCCTCTACATACCTTTTACTGAAAACAGTAATGTGAAGAGCTGAAATGAACGCTTCAAAGGTATGTCCTCTAGTATCTTTGGTACTGCATAGTATATCACATTTTGGGTGCATCCATGCACCATTTAGAATTATAACCTCTTTTTGAAGTCTTAGATTCTTTCATGTTCTACATAATCTCATGATGGTTCATCAGGTTAACAAGTAGTCTAACTCATGATTTCTCAGCCTGGATATCTCAAGCAAGCCACACTTGGCCAGGTACAGGCAATGGAGGGCCAAGTTTTTTTCTGTTATAAAATAGTGTCACATATGGAAAAATGGAGGTGTAGCCTGAGAGCCTCAATGCAGACTGAGTCTCTGCAACTTTTGTTTACTAGTTAGATTCATGTTTGTCTTCCTTCTTCTTATTCTGGCTGAGGTAATGCAGCTTCACTTCTTTACTTTAACTTAAGGCTTCTTAGTCTTCTCTGCTTCTTCTGCGACATCTCATCTTCAATCTTGACAATAACATCTATGTTTTTAGCACTTAGCTTGTATCTCCAGAACACTGCTGGACATTACCTTGACCTTGCTGCTATTCTTATTGTTTGTATCATATCTTTATTTGTTCTCCATTTTTGGTCGCTACACTTCAGGGTTTCCAAAATGCTGTCACTTAGCTTGTTTTTTCCTTTTTCAAAGATGCAGCCAAGTAGTTTCCAATATCTAGTACATTCACACTCATCATATGTATGAATCTAATTTAAAAATCTATTCTTCTAGTTTTCAAAATTCTTCATAGGCTCCATCTTTCCATACTGTCTATATTCATTTTCTTCCTATCTAGCTTCTTTCGCTTTTCCAATACTGACTTAATCTCCGATTTAACCTTATCACACTCCATATTTGGAGGGGGGGGGTGCTTTTTACCTCTTCTATATTATCTGTTCGACATTCTTTCCCTACCTGTGAGTCAGTGATTCATTTCCTTTCTCCAGCTCTAATTTTTAAACTTTCTTCATTTCAATAACTAAAGCAAATGTTATATATAATATATAACATAATTACATGATATATACCAGTAATACATTTAAGCAGTAACAAGGTTGTAATTCAAACTAATAATAAAAAGATACTTAAAATTTAAGTTTAAACTCCATGGCTCTGGTTTCAATGAATCCCAAAACTTTTTAAATGAAAACTTGACTCCAGGCATAAAAAGATTAACTGATCCTGGTATACCAAAAAGTCTTTTTTCTTTGGAGTTGGCAACTCTGCCTGGCATTTTTAAATATAAGAATCTGTTTCCAGACACTTAGAATTTTTAAACTCTAATAATTTGTGTGGAAATCTGCATGGGAGAGTATGGTGAAGATGGGAGGGATGTGTGTATACATACAGAAGACCAAAGGGGTTAGAAACAGAGATGGAGGTTTGATACGAGCACATAAGAGCTCAGAGAAAGAAAGGGAAAATACAAGGATCCAAGACATTAGTGAATAAAAAAAGATAGGGGTGGCCTGGATGAACAGAGCAAAAGCTATATAACCATTGGCCATTGAAGCCTGGAGTACTGAGTCCCTTCATACCTTGTGTAGTTGTGATCGAGTGAAACAGCCAACTACTGCCCCTAGTTCAACTGGTCGAAGTCTGGATCTGCCAAGGGCAACAGCAGAGTCTTCCTATGCCTGAAGAAAAGTACTTGTGCCTGGAAGCTTTCAAAGAACTTTGTTCCAACTACTCAGTTTGTCTAATAAAAGATATTACATCTATCCAAAGAACCTAGCTGACCTATGTCCTTAGACCAACGTGTACAAACAAAAACCCTACAACCTTTAATCTAGTATTTCTAAATTATGACTGGTCAACTTTTCAGCCTTAATGTTTATTTACCATGGGTTTGGGGAGGAGGGGTTTAATCTAATATATAATAGAGTCATTATTTTAAAATGAAAAAAAAATAAAAGCCCAGCTATGAATAAGTTGTCATTTAAAGCTGCAGTTAGTCTGGGGACTATTAAATTAAAAAGAAAAAAATGTCAAACAAGCAATTTCAGCCCTGGCCAGCTTTCTGTGTCTCTTCCCACATGGGTAGGTGGCATTTGACAGTGACTGTGTTGCCTGGGTAATGGTGACATAAAGGATTTCACTGTTTGTTTTTTGCATTGTTTTTCTTGAGGGTGTTTTGCATTTATACATAGATATTTTGTCAATGCTAGCACCAAATGTCATTAAGATCTGACAGTTGCAGATGCAGACTGAAGTCCTCAGGAAAGAGCACAGATTAATCAGAACTAATATAAGCTAAATCTATTTAAATGCAATAATTCAGTGGCTTTTAAGAACTGAGATTAGTAAAAGATCTCTAATTAAAAATCCAAGGTTGCTGTGGCATTCATCTTTAGCCAGTACCTATAACTTGGGGTTAGTTCTGTTTGTATCTGATCTATCTTTCTAAGATCAATAGAAATACTGTTATAATGCCAGCTATTAGCAAAATCTTAACAAGAATACCACACTAGCAGTACCATCTTATCTGTGCTGTGCAAAAACTGAGATCAGTGAAGCATAAGTGGGATGTAAATGAGAGCTAAGTTTCCAGGGTAGTGTCTGCTGTGCAACAGTAGTAATGTCAAGTCACAATGAAACATTCAGCTGCATGCTATGCTTTAAGAAAAAAATATGTTCCTCTATTTTATAGAGAAAAACTAATAAAAATATCTCCAATCAGTTGAGCAACCTTTCCAAAAATTGGTGTGTGCGCAGTCAATGGTGTATTGCCATTTAGAGGATGAATCAAAATAAGTTACACCTGTGGTAAAACTACAGTTGAGCAGATCTGTATTAATAGCCTGCTCCTTTCTTTCACTGAAATCAAAGACTGATTTTACACCAGTGCAAATGAGAAGTGAATCAAGCCTCAAGGGTCCTTTCTATGAAGTGTGTGGCATGCATCCTAGTAACAATGATATTTATAGGAATTATACAGGTCAATTTCTATGAAAGTTATATATTACATTCATATTGTACAGTCTTCTGTGAATTCCAGAGCCCAGTGTTCTTCACCATGCAAAGAACCTTCAACATTTGTTGAAAGGAATGTCAGGAGAGGAAAAAACATGATAACTATTATGCAAAAATTTAGAAAAAGGAAAATTACCAACAAAATGAACAAAATAAATAGAAACTGTTCAGGAACTGGAGATAGCTCAGTTACAGCAATCACTAAATGCAGTCAAGGTCAGTTTCCCTGCTAATTTCAGCCTATTACTCTCAGTTCAGTGACAGCAGGCACATATACAAGGAAGCACTGATAATTTATATAGCACAGAATCAATGAAGGCAGTGGTCTTATTTTGAGAAGGGGAATTCTATGTTAGTATAGATATTACAATGTCTACTCCTTTATCATAGTGTTTGATGTATTGAGCATAGATAGGTTTTTGTTCTATATTACGGATGAAATCCTGATGCCACTGAAGTTCAG